AACTAAGTAACTACAGGGCAAAGTACCTTGGAGTGTTGAGGTCAATCCCCGAAGTCTTCAACATATCCAGCAGGTTGCATAGATTCTTATTGGAGCTTGGGAAGCACGAGTAGGACCTTGCATCCATCACACGCAAAATAGGTGCTTGGAATCTCTTCATAGGTAAGCAAATTACACTTAAAATCGTAATATTGTTTAAACTCTACTGCTCATTCGTAAAGCAGATTCGCCAGAGAACAATGAGCTAGAAACTTTAGGGGTTGTTCTTTGTAAATATACATTTCAATACATTTTTTTTATAATAATAATAACGCACACACTCAACATGGCCCCGCACTAGGGAAACCAAGAAAGGGTATACATTAAGGATATACATAATGAACCGCAGGTTTTTAATTGTCGGTAGATAATAAATAAATAATAAATAACGCACACACTCAACATAGCCCCGCACTAGGGAAATCCTGTGTCGCGGGTGCCATGGACACACACATAGACAACCACAAATTACACCCAAACTTACGAGAGAAATAAATGTAGGCCATACAAATATTTCTCCCGACCCGGGAATCGAATCTGCGTGGCAGTCCGGCATGGTAACCGTTCGGCCACGGAGGCAGTTAGTATTTATTATTTACAATATTCAATTATTTCAAGCAGCTTAGATCGAGAATACCTGCAAGAGTTAAATGGGTCACTACCACGGATTTTTGTCATCTAAGTACCTACTGTGGGAGCGTAGTCGTGGGTTTAGCGTTGCGAGAGGTACTTCTTTATAAGAAAAAAGGAATATATTCATAAATAAAGATTTACTGCGTGTATTCAGCTAGAAATTCGCCTAGTTCCATCACCACCATCAGCATCTTCTTTTATTTTTATCTAATTCTAAATACAAACCTATATTTATTTAGACAGTTCACAATACAATATATGCAGCCTGCTACAGTACGCAGAAGCTGTATAATAACCTTTACAAGAAAGTCTTTGTTTCACTATAGTTTTAAATATCACCCGGAATCTTATTATAGAAGCGTAAACATTGTCCCTTAAATGAGTTTGCGACTTTGTGAAGATGAACACCAGCCCGTTACACCATAGCATACCATATAAAGCACAAAAGGGTTAAAATTGTATGAGGTATAACGCAGGTGAAGGTTACTCAGTGTTTTTTTTTAATCTTGTCTTTTTTTATAATACTAAGTGACGAACAAGAACAGTTGCAGCGCTACTCAGAGATTTAAATCCCTTTCCGGGAAAAACTCTTTCACAAGCTCTACTGCTGCAAAAACTTCTAAACTATCACGGTATATATTAAATTGAACTCCTTGCGTAGAGAACGTCTCTTTAGTATTAGCAGTTCACTGCCATACACAGCGTATTTCCAAAACAGTAATATCTTGCATTAGTACGTTATTTATAGAGTGCACTTGCGAGATAACTTTTGATCGACCGCCAATTGCGCCTGTGTTATGAAATTTTGCTCCCTACATATATGGACACGTATCGAGATATGAACGGCTGCTGATGCCTATAAATGAAATTGGTATATTTAGTTGCAGTAGACTTTCGTATAATAAGCCGAAATCGATAGCCAGTACGTAGTAAGAATAAGAATACGTTATTTTTTACTTGAACGTATTTAAAAAAAAATGTTACGATATTGTAACCACGGTCAATTAATATATCACATATTTGCACCCATGATTTACACCATTGTTTTCCAAAGTGGTCCCTACCGCCCCCTGTGGGCGCTGAAGACTCCTAGGTAGGGGCCTCGGAAGCAATTGGGGGCGTTGATGCTACCGCATTTGAAAAAAAACTACACTACATATATATATTTGTTTTCCTTATGATTTTTTGTGTTATTATAAAAAATATTTGTTTTCAATTATATTTGTGGTTGTGGCGGCTTACATTTTTTTTGTCTTAGTAAGCCCTAAAAACTTTGGGAACCTGCTGTTTACATCAAATGTATTCAAATCGTGGCCTTGGTCTAAGTCAAAGATACTTTTATCACAAGAAAGACGTTTTAATCATACGAACTACATCAAACAAATTATGCATAATATGAAATCTTACAACTCTGCTATTTAAATATAAAAAGTTGTCGACTAATTTCGTACATACACCTTTGAACCTCTCTCCTGAAAAGTTATCATTTGGCAGATATGTCATTATTAAACCAAGGGTGCGAATTATTGACAGGAGAAATAAATAAATTAGTGTTAGTTTTTTCTTCAAATTTATTACACCAATTTCGCATATAATTACATTTCTAATTATGACACTTTATCACTGTAGCTGTTATGGAGGTATATATACGTAGATACCTGCCTCAATGTAAAGATTTAGTAAAGTTTCTGAAATTTCGTAAATATTATAATATAAATGTCGCATGGTACCTATCAAATGACAATTCTTTTTACCCACAAGTTTTCCAGTGCCATGAACTCATAACATTAAGTTAAAGTTAAAGGAGTATTTCATTTGGTTAAATATAGAAACGTAGATAACTTTTTCATAAAGTCCCGCAAAAGCTTTGGTATGAAAACAGGAAACTGACATTTTACATTAAAATTAGTATATAACAGCGAATTCAAAAACTTGTGAGTTTATACTTCATAATATAACACTTACCTTAAACACGAATTTTACAAAAAAATATCACGTCATTTAAAATTCAAAACCACTGCACTGTTTAAAAACTTTTGGACGCGTCGCGTGGATGGCGGGAAAGTCACAAAGATGGAGACGAGACGCGAGCGCCGCTTTGCCACTCCGTGTGCCGCAGCGCAGACGCAATAAAATGTTGCTTTAAAGGCTACACGACGCTCCACCAACGACTGTCGTAGCACAGTACCGGATTTGTCAATATGCATGCTGAGACACTGCGTGATAGCGATCTCAGAGTTAGAACTCGATCATGTCATCTGTCACCCGGGGTGGCTTCGAATATACTTCATTATTCATATTATTATACAATATGGAATGACCTGCCCCCTTCTATAAAAGAGGCAGTGGGTCAATCGTTATCGATATTCAGATGCTCGCACTGACTACTTAACATGGAATACCAAGCAGCAGGTTTCTTGTCATTTGTTCTAGAATATTTTGTATTTTAATTATAGCTTTTGCTCGGGTGAGTGTGTACGTGTGTGTGTTTGCCACAACTTTTTATCGGTATGTTTTTAAAGCATTACGGGCTCAGGTAGAATATCAGCGAAGACAATATGCGTCATATTTAGTAGCAACAAGTTCCATGTGAAAGAGTCGCCAAGCAGTAATGCTCACATTGGTGTTGGTGAAATTACAGGCACATATGGGACTTGTCAACTTGTGTCTCAGGGTGACGGGCGCACTGGCAGTGTTCCTCAAACCTTTGCTATTTGAAGCTCTTGGTGGCACTGCAACTATTATGGACAGGTGTATCGCTTATCACACGAGACACGACTTTTTCGTCCCGTCCCTTAGTATTATGAAAAAAAATATCCTTCGGTAGCCTTAGGCCCATTTCTCAAGTGTCCATTATTAATTTATATTCTCTTTTTCTTGTACTGTTGGTACTTACGTCAAAAAATCTAGTTAAGAGTTATAATCCTTGAGAAAATTTGTGCCCAGGAACGGGACCTATTTTCGTTGAAACAGAAAAACAATTGGAAATTTACTTTACTCTGCAATATCTCCTGTTATTACTTTTTTAACAGACAGTACAAAAACAAGCTTTTCTTTGCCCCTGATCAATCAAAATTATCACAATTAATTTTTACTTACTTAATATTATTTAGAACATAAGTCGAAGTGTGATAGGTACCAGGAATTCTTGAGCGCCATGTTTTAGGACATAAAGTATTCAATACGTAACTATAACCGACGTCGTAATTTATATGGGACACTCGCCTGTTATTTCTTGTAGTAAATCTGGCAAACAACGCACCACATGGTGGTAATGATGTATGGCCGACAGTTTGCTCATCTGCTTTCATCTTACAAACGATGTCAATACGTCTGTTTTGCAGTTATACAACTAAACTAAACTACCTACTAACTTGATCCAAATGATTGTTCCCGATTCTTCGGCACCATATCACGCTCCATGGTAAAGGCTTGACTACTAAATGGAGCGTGTATCTGTTCTAAAATATCGGGAAAACTATAAGAAATCTTACCGTATTAAGACACCAGTAATTAGTTATATTCAGTGAATAACCACGAAAGGCAAAAATGTCGGTAAAAACAAAAAACAAAGATCTGCAAAAAGCACAAAAAAAATTCGTTAGGTCTGCTGGTTCGTTCGGTGGCTTAATTGGCAGAGCATTTGACACAGATTGCCTGAGGGTACTGGTTCGAAACCAACCAGATCGAATGAATTTTTCTAAGTGTTCGCCTTTGTTATTAATAATTGAAACTAGTGGAGTAATTTCACAAAAAAATAATTGAATATCGTGGTAGTAAAACATCGTGACATTCAATAAAACTTAAAAACCTTATCATTTGCTTTATTAACAAAAGTCTTATAATCTACATCAACTTGATTCGGCTCGAAGGACCATTATTTGACGGCGCATTATGAGCTCTAACGATAGCGTCGTATTTCAATCTCGTTATATACGTATACGTTTAGTTGTCATAAATGTCACATCACAAAGAAAATATTTATTTCGCAAGTGTTCGACATTTGGCAAATTTTGACATAGGTATGTTTCGTAGCTTCTGTGTGCGAATTGTATTACAGCTGAATCCCGGCTGTCTCGTAATAAACCTGTCTCCAGGGCCGCTCGCAGGAAGAATAATAAACAAAGGAGGGTCATTAAAACGGCTATTTCAGACCGTCTGGTGAGCGAGACTAACTGGGCACCCAACAGCTGCTTCAGCCGTAAGCGATAAGAATATGTGGAGATCTCACATCTCGATTAACACTTCCTAATTTACACCTTCGTTCACATCGGTTTGCATAAGTAAGTTGATGACAATATTTTGCATTTATTTATTTTTTGAGTTATCAATATTTTTGTTTATACTACGACGCTTGAAAGGCAAAATGGGACAAGCGACACTTTTGGGTTATATTGAGTTATATATACCGCTGGAATCAGAAACATTAGCTGATTCCAGTTTAGTAGCATTAGAGCTCCTTGTGAAAGAGATCGTCCAGGGTAGTACTGCCACCTTACCTATTTCTGCCGCCAAGCACTAATGTGAACATTACTCCGTTCCGGTTTGGAAGGGCAAGGGTGCTGGTGAAATTATAGGCACATGGGTCTTGTCAACTGTCTCAGGGTGTTGGCCGCAGTAGCAGTGCCTCTCAGATGTTTGTGGTTTAAAGGTCTGAGTGACACTGCAACTGTTAGGGACAGGCGTGACGCTTACCACCAGACACACGACTGGTTCGTCTCGTCACTTAGTATAAAATATATATATATATATAACACGATACGACCAAAAGTGTCGCTTATCTCATTTCGCATTTTAAGCGTCGATTATAATGTAAAAAATTAGACGAGGACGATACTCCCAATACCGTGAACCGCTGTATCAACAAATCTATGGTTATTTTTTCAAAAGTTTTTTTTTATAATATCAAGTGACGGGACGAACAAGTTGTGCGCCTGATGGTAAGCAACACGCCTGTCCATAACAGTTTCAGTGCCACTCAGAACTTTAAATTGCAAAGTCCTGAGGGGCACTACCACTGCGCCCGTCACCCTGAGACAAGTTGACAAGTCCCATGTGCCTATAATTTCATCAGCACCCTTACCCTTCAAAACCGGAGCACAGTAATGCTGACATTACTGCTTGGCGGCAGAAACAGGTAAGATGGCAGTACTACCCTGGACGAACTCTTCACAAGGAGCCCTACTACTACTAAAAATTATACATTCACATATGAGAAACTTAAATATACTAACATTACAGCAGCAGAGCAGCATCTATAAATATAGTACGTCAAGCGCAAAATGCATAAAATCTATGTAATACGAATATGACATTTTTAGGAGGTGGGTATATAGTTTTGTAGAACAACTTAAAAAACAGACTTTCAACAACATGCTGCCAAATTATTCTCGGTTCTTTTCGTCACATGGCCCGACGGCATCCCGACAGCTTCGACAGGTCACTAAGAGTCCTCTAGGCAGAACACCTCGCCGTTGTTGCGACCAAGTAATTATCCCCACTGATCGTTTGGTTTCCGAAAACCGAACGAAATATAAGCAGCTTGTACACAATACCACGAATCGGTTTCAGGGACTTAACCGTCGCAATAAAGAACTAGACTAAGAAGAAGAATTGATTGGAAATGAAAGTACGTATATATATATTTAAAAAGTACGTATATTTATATTTCAACTGCCTCCGTGGCCGAACGGTTACCATGCCGGACTGCCACGCAGAGGTCCCAGGTTCGATTCCCGGGCCGGGAGAAATATTTGTATGGCCTACAATTATTTCTCTCGTGAGTTTGGGTGTAATTTGTGGTTGTCTATGTGTGTGTCCATGGCACCCGCGACACAGGGTTTCCCTAGTGCGGGGCTATGTTGAGTGTGTGCGTTATTTATTTATTATTTATTTATATATATTTTTAAATTTCATGGTCTTCCTTTTATTTAACATGCTATGTTATTTAGAACAAAACAATCCTTATAATTGAAGCTTTCGATCAGTGTAGTAAAATTACAAGTGTTTTTTTTCACATCTGGCGGGTTCAATGCCCGGTTCACACAGGCAATTACTTAAAAACCTTTGAATCAGTTCCATTTTTTTTATAATCAAAATGAATTATTTTTCAGTATAACTTTCTATCTACGGTATTTAAGGTCCTTTCCCTCCTTTTGGCATAGCTGTGGACGCCCTGCTCGTAGGTATATGAAATATAATAATATAATAATAATAATAATAAAAATCCTTATTTAAAGTGTTGTATATGCTGGCCGCACAAACGTGTCGTATTGCCTGTCTGGAAATACAGTGTTGGTAGGGGAGAGCGGGGCTGAACGTTCCGATTTTCAAATAACTTGCAGTTTTATACTGAAAATGTAGGATTTGATTTTCAACATGTGGAAATGTTGAATAAATTGTTTACCGCTTTTTGTAAAAGTATAGTCACTTCTACTAATATCTCAAAGTCTTTTTCATAGAGGCAAATTTTTGAAAAATTTCGGAGCGGAACATTCAGCCCCGCTTTGGGGCACGTTGTTTTGCCTTTGAAGCAAATTGTTCCGCCTAGATTATGACAAAATAACAAAGATTTTCTTAAATAAAACCACCTATTTTATAATTGTATGTATGCATGTAATGTTTATATTATGCACAACTAACTTAAAAAAAAACAACTACATTCTTATTCATCAGTAATATTATTCATCGCTCATTTCTTCATCTGAATCACAGTTGAGACACACATAAGTGACTCTATCATCTTGTCTAAATATTTAACATGAGCCCATTGACTTACAAATAAATGGACGACGGGTCTAATACAAAAACCACGAAAAAAATGTCCCAAGTCAACCTATTTAAACGTAGTGACATGTAAAGGAATATGAAAAAGCTAAAACGTTTAATTTAAATTGTATCGCAGTACTGTCTAATTTTGCTTGCTTCGCTGTCAATCGAATAAACGAAGACTAAAGCGTGAATGACGCTCTATGATTGCAGGTCAATTGGGGAAGTTGTTCCTAGGAACAACCAACCCCGCGAGAGAGGAACTTATAGCCCCAAATTACGTTTTTATACGAAGACTGACATACCGGTAAAGTAATAGAATCAATCAAAAAAATGCTCAAACAA